CCCCCCCCCCCCCACCACTACCGCCATTCTAGACCCATTAATTCTCATGTCCCCAACGAATTTTTAGAAAACAAGACACAATTCAATACGGAAGATCTATAGAGAAATTCACAATCAGAATTCAATTGAGCATTATCCAATTCATACCTAATTCTTCATCAATTCAAAACCTTTATTGCCACCACAACAGCTGTCAATCTTCTCCACACCCTCTCCAACAAAGAATACATCACTCTTGTGCGTCTCTCTCTGTGTGTATGTTGTGTTTGTGTTAGAGTTTAGATGTGTTGGGTTTGAGAAGTGGAGATGTAGTAATGATGTGGGTGTGTATTTGTGATTTTTTTGTTGTGTTTGTGCTAGGATTCAGATGTGTTAGGTTTAGGAGTAGAGAGAGAGAGAGAGAATGATTTCTACGTTTTTGAGGGAGAGAGAATGATACAGCTTGTGTGAGGGAGAGAGGAGAAAAAAAGAAAAGAAGAAGAAAGTTGGTGATTGAGTTCATGTTTAATGTATACAAATAATAGATAATTGTGTTTGGATGCATAAATAATAGTAAAATATCAAAAATATCCCTCAAAAGTCCCATGTACAAGGCACATTATATTTTTTGTCTATTATTTGGACGGCTATTAGGAGTAAGGACCAAAGTGAGTTGATGTGTTCACATGAAGGACAAAATTGATGAAATTAAAACTTTAAGGATGAAAGTGTAACAAGTGACAAACCTTAAGGACTATTGGTACAATTTATTCTTTTTCAATTCCAAACAAAATCAAACACAATCCACAAGTCTGTGCTCCACGTGACGTGTTTAAAAAAAGAAATTAAAATTAGACTTGGAATACAAGTTAAGCATGACAGTAATATATTTTTTATTTTTGTATATAATTATTCATATGTTACTCAAAATACTCAGAGAATGCTGTAATCAATTTCAGTAAACGCATGTTTACTAGCGTAGTGCATCGACAAAGTTACGTGTTTATTTCTATTTTTCCTTTCTTCTTTCTAATAGGGGGTGTATCACAAATTGAATAAAACTATACCATTACTCAAGCTTGACTTATATTTTTTAACAAGCTTTTAAATGAAACTTATGTTTCACGTGTTAGTATGAGAACTTTGAATTTTTTTTTGAGTTAGGCATTATTATAAAGAAGGGGGAATGGGGATGTCGAAGTTCTAACTCGTGATCTTAAGGTCAAATAATGTAAACATAATTTTTAAAATTTTATCAGATCAATTAAATCTTGAGAACTTGAGTTGAATAACTCAATTTTTAAAATTTTATGGCTTATTTGGTAACGTTTACGGTTTTTAATTTTCTAAAAAATGAAAAACAGAATCAAAAAATGAAAAACGTATTTTTCTCATTTTTGAAAATCGCCCCCTCATTTACAAAACGATGACAGGAAAAAAAAAATTAAAAACGGTTATCAAATGAATTTTTTTTCTTATTTTCTCTAAATATCAAAATAAAAACAAAAAACGAACAACGAAAAACATAAACGTTATCAAACGAGATCTCAGCAAATCAGTTGAATTCGACCAACACTCTCATTCCAAATAAGTTGGCTAATTTTATGTTCCTACTTGTTCACAATTTTTCGAAATATGAATCACAATGATTTAAATTACTTTTTCTAATTAGTATGCCTTTAAAGGGATAAGGGATGCTAACCCTATTGTTTTGAGATCTTTGAATTACTAAATAACAAGTCCAACCAGTTGAATAACTCAAGTTACGATGACTAATCGCTGAATTTGAGGGAATAGTCAGAACAAGTCTAAACGTCCTATAAAAAAAAATAAAAAAAAGGGAAGATAATTTTAGAGTTATTTTTTTTACCTGCATAATTAATNGAGATCTTTGAATTACTAAATAACAAGTCCAACAAGTTGAATAACTCAAGTTACGGTGACTAATCGCTGAATTTGAGGGAATAGTCAGCACAAGTCTAAACGCCCTATAAAAAAAAATAAAAAAAAGGGAAGATAATTTTAGAGTTATTTTTTTTACCTGCATAATTAATTGCAGTCAATTACTATTTACTCCCATTATCATTAAGATAAATTTATTTTAATCTCTTTTCATTATTTTTATTTGTATATCGAGTTTTGCTAAACGAGGTAGGTAACGCACAAATGCCCATCATCCACCCCGTCAGGTTAGCAATTCCCTGGAAAGCGCTTCAAATTTATTTAAAAAAAACCCGCCAATATAAATATCCAAAACTTGAAATTCCCACTATCATCTGGCGACAGAGAGAGAGAGAGGGAGAGCGAGCGAGCGAGCAAGAGAGAGATGGCGAAGAGATCACGCAAGGAGTCTTCAGCAGCGGACCTTCTGGTCTCTCCTTTGCCTAAAACGAGCCCTAGCAAATCTCCCAGCGAATCTCCGGTGGAATTCGAATTCAAGCTCAACGCATTCAACACTACCACATCATCTTCGAAGAAGAACTTCAATCGTAAGAACTGTGGAGCATCGACTCCTGTGCCAATGCAACCTACCGGATCGCCACCGTCGCTGAAAAACCTAAGCACAATCTCGGATCTGAAGAACTTGGCTGTTTCGAAGATGGAGTCCATCAAGCGCCAACTGGATCGGTCTCATTTGGAGATACTGAAGGATGTTGAGGCTTCTCAGTCTCGTCTTCACAAGCGCTTCAAGGTCTCTCTCTCTCTCTCTCTCTCTCTCTCTGTGAGTGTGTATATTAGAGATTATGTTTTACTATAGAATAATTCCTCATCAGAAATAGATATTTTGTTCAACTTTCTCTAATGTGTTTACATTTCTGTCTATCCAAATATCTCTATGTAAATGTGTGCAGATGACATAAGTCTGTTTGTGTGTATTTATAAATCATCTATATATAGAGGTTGAAATCGTGAATTTGATGTCCTTGGATGCATAATTGGACATCTATCTAGGTTCTATTGTCTGATTGTTTGTAGACACTGAAATTCCACTCTGCATCTTTTTCAATTTTATTACGCTTGTTTTAAATTTTCATATTACAAGTAATTAAATGCTCCGCTATATAATAGGTTAGACATCCCAATTGACAGNCTGGACATCTATCTAGGTTCTATTGTCTGATTGTTTGTAGACACTGAAGTTCCACTCTGCATCTTTTTCAATTTTATTACGCTTGTTTTAAATTTTTATATTACAAGTAATTAAATGCTCCGCTATATAATAGGTTAGACATCCCAATTGACAGTTTACAGTGTTGTGCTCTGATCTTTTTCTGAAGGCTGCATGAGATTTTAACAATCTGCCTCTGCATTCTGTTTTTCATATTGTAGTATATTCTTAAAACTCACAATAAAAGGTAAGTACTGAGTGTGACGTGTTCTGTGTGCCATATGCCTGTGCCTAAAATGTTCTGCCAAAGGCATGAAGTGAAGGTATATTTTGTGTATTGTGAAAGCTTACTACAGAGGTCTGTATTTATTCTGATGCTATTTTAATCAATCATATCTATTTATTCATATGGAATTTAGTTATCTTAAGTCCATCTTTGTTTTGTTTTACACTCTCACATTGGTTGAACTACAACCTGGGTTATTTAAGGTCTTATTTGAAGTGAAATCAAGCTTGAAATTTGTTTTTTTGTTTTGCGCCATGGTGACCTTCTTGATGAGTGTGTTTGTAGCACTATTCATTAGAGGTGATTCATATTTAAATGGCACAATCCACTTCCCCTGATCTACTGAGATTTTCGGTTTTGCCTAATGCTGCCCTTCCTTTGTGTTCTTAATATTCTATGATTAATGCTTGCAACATTGTCAGTTCAGAAAAGACAATCTGGACGAAGTACATCAGCTGAATTTCACTTGCTCCACTTATATGCCTAATACTACTAGAGAAATTGATTTGCCTTTGAATTATGTAAGCTGCCTCTTTATATTTAGAGTAATAAAATTGCCACCAAAACAGGCATTCCTGGGGTCAGTGTTATACCACTAAGAATATTGGCTCATGGTATTACAAAAATGTTACACGTTGCGATCTGTGGTGGTAAGTCACTAACCAAACTAAGTTAAGCCTTATGTCCCAATCATTTGGAGTCGGGTATATGAATCCTTTTTCGCCATTCATTTCGATCATGCACTATGCACTTATTGAAGTTAAATATTTTTATATCTTTTCTTATTATTTTGTTCAATTCTAATTTAGATCTACCCCTACTTCTGGTATGCGCCGGTAAGTCACTAGGTTCTCAAAATGCTGAGTTCGATTGTTGCAGTAGATTCAGGATTTGTTCAAATTTGATCAAGTTGCCAATAATGTAACGTGTTCTTCATTTTTGATTTGGTGACGTACTATTTCAGTCCTATATTTGTCGTGGCAATGTAGAGTGGAGTGAACATCTTGTGTTTTGTCATGTTGTTCTTGAAATATCGGACAATTTTGCAGTTCCACATCTTTTTTAGCGGTTGAACAGGATACTTAAGTAAGTTTTAACTACCGCTACTACCATAGAAAATATTGCTTGCTGTGAAGCATTAAGTTATTTTGGCTGTTTCTTTTGACAATATTATTTTTTGGGATAATTTCAACAGATTCAAACACAGGCATGCCAGCAAGTGATGGATGAAGCAGACAGGGAATGCAAGAAGATGGTTGACCAGATTGATGAAAGTCGGGAAGCAATGAAGGTAGTTGATCATCCAGTGTAACAAATATCAGTCCAAATTTCCTCACATCCTTTGCTACTACTACTAGTAGTTTAACATGATGATTTATTTGCAGGCTTCATATGCAGAGTTCATAGCAGCAGCACAGGCTAGTGCATCTCGCGGTAGGTTTGCTTACTGTACCATATACTATTATGGTGATAAAGGATCTGGGTGTATGCAATTTATAGTACCATGCCTGTATGTGACGCTGGAAATTTATGTGGTATGAGACTATTAGCTGCTGGATGTTACATTAGCATTGTCTAATTCAGAAACAAGCATCTATGGTATCATCATTCGTTTGTTGTTGTGTCATTCCATAGTAGTAAATTAATGGGAGAAGGAGACAATGAGATCAGACCACACAATCTCCCTAAACATAATAGGCAAAAATTAAGTATACCAACATATAAATAAGACAATTGTAACAGAGTAACATCACAGTCAAGATGATTTATGATGTTAAATATGTTTAGATTCTAAAGATACTATTGAACATCTTATTGTGACCAACAAAAGATACAAAATAACTTGTGTCGGCAAATTGATGCCCAGCATGCGATTCTTTTAAATACACTCTTTTTGTTTCTGAAAATTTCAGCGTGCAAAACATCCATCCCTAAGCTTTCACAGTCCTTCGAGAAAGCCATTGATGCTATCAAAAGCCGTTATGGGATCCCATCAACTTCAGCATAATTGCCATTGTCAAACTAACAGAAATTCCTCGGTGAGTAAGCAAATTTGAAGCTTTGTGTCATTTTTTTTTCCATTCGTAGAGCTAATATTCATCGGAATTCCTATAGAACTAGGAATGCAGTGCTTTATCTGTTAAGTCCCTGTTATGCTTAGATATGTTTAACATTTTCTCTCAGAATTTTCCTTTTTGAGGTTCACATTGGATGGCAGTTTATTGAATAACAACCTGGATATTGAGATACAAAATTCATTATTCGTTGGTAGGGTCATACAGATTTTTTGTCTTTTAAAGATGAAATCAAATCAATTAGCTCAGCTTTTTTTACATCCTTTAGCAATGGTGTGAAGTTAGAACTTGGAATAAAAGATTAGTATTTTCCCAAATGTGTCTCTTGTGGAAAAAAAAATAAAGATTTTATGGTTCATAGATTCAGTTTGGTAATTCAATATCTTGTGATATGAATGGCTTTATGAAACGAGTCAAAGCTATAAATGTATCTAAAACAAAATGTTTTGATGTTTTCAAATGGTAAAATGCCAATATGAGGTGACCTTTTTAACCCAGGCTTTGCCCATGCCTTGTGGAGCCAACCATACAGAGGAAGGAAGGCACACAGTAGGAATGGTGTCAACTACAAGAGAATGAAATTGGTTTAGTGAGGGAATATTCCAATTTGCTGGGAGTTTACCGGTGAAGAATTTGAAATCGATTCAGATAATTTATCATTCCTCTTAGGAGACATTTCAAACTTGTAGGAGGCAATCGGTTTAACAAACAGGAAAAATGTGAAAATGTAATTTAGTTCAAAATAGTTAGCACAAACCTTTGCACATGCTTTTAAGGCAATCGGTTTAACAAATTAGGTGCAAATAGCATTTTTCTTTACTAAATAGGAAAAATGTGAAAATGTATACTTTTCAGAAGAGAGATGTAAATGTTGAGGAAATGTTTCAGTCCGTATCAACTTGTTACGTTGCATGCGATTTAAACTTTGTATACATTGTAGATTCTCAGGGACGGGATCTTTTGTATTCATAGGACCGGGGACGGGGGAAGTTTGAATGGCTAGAATACATGGACCATAAAAGGAGTTTGGATATGTGTAGCACAACACAGATTTCTTAAGAATGAATGACTTCCATCGAAACTTCTAAATCGGCAGCAGAATTAATCCCTACATTTAATCCCTTGGTCTTCATCTAGGTAGATTCATATTCATTGTCCATCTGACAAGTTATATGGACTGCCTACTACTCAATGCAACACTCTTTATTTTCTTCTGGACATAGTATCGACTGTATAAAATAGACATTAAACACGACATTGAGAGGGAGAAAAAAAAAAGGCGGAACCACATTCTGCCAGTGTCAAAGACAATGAATTCCTTTGCATCGTCTATGTCTTCATTTTTCGGTAAGTAAGCATTTTCTATGTCATTTTGTTTCCTTTTAAACTAAATATTTGGCCATCGACTTAGTCAACACTTCTGTTGTCTTTTTTTTTCTTTCCGAAAGTGAGCACTTAATTATCAACTAAGGCTTGGATGCCTTGCAGTACATTTTGATAAAATTTGTTGCGAGTAATCGTGCTTTTCAGACATCAATTCCTGGGAAGACATACAGAAAAACAGTCTGGAGGGTCGTCTTCATGCAACAGGCAGCAGTGGAGGTGATGCTACATTACATATGCTTGTGCAAATTACTGTTTTCCTTCTTAGTTTTACATCAAACAAATGAATGGATTTCATACTTAGGCTTCTAAATGCCATCTCATACATTTTACAAATATGATAGTAGAGAAAAGTTTCTGCTTCAACCGAAGTACTTGTTGCACCTCCATTCATGCCAACAATATCCTTCCAACAATTACCTTGGGATTCGATGATTTTACTCTATTACCGATTGTTGGATCGAAATATTTACTGTTGCACCAAAAGTTATATAATTGTCAGTGAATGTGCAATTTCTTTTCTTTTTTTAATAAGTTTAGCAATAAGCCCACAGATCGGAGTGGTTAAATTCTCCCATCGAGTTGGGGATTTGCTGCACCCATCCAGACCAACAAAATTCGCAACATAATCCCCTAGGCTATAGGAGTTGGTGAGGCTTACCGTGTGCTCGATTGCTTCGTCACATTTACGTTCCTTATCATGCCTGTGGCTCAGCGAGTCATGGATCATGTCAGTCCAGTTTCTGAGTATGCCATGGGCCTTACCCGGAGCCCATACAGTCTTCCTGTCAGCTTCTGAGCAGGCCATGGGCCTTTCCCACATCTCATACCATCCTCATTCCATTGCCTTCCTATGGTCCTATGGGTATTCTAGTAATTTGACACCATCTTGAAACGGATAAGCTTTTCTCCCAAAATCTGAAAAGAAGGTATGTGACCACCAACCATTTGAAATACCATGTAAAAGGAAAACCAAGATTGGAGAAAATTATGGAAACCTGCTCATATCCAACTGCGCCACCATCCATACCATCGTCATCTCCATTATCCCCTACCAAACACCTCTCCCAATTCCCAATCTTCGCATCAAAACTCTACCACACTCGAACTCACATATCATACACCACACCAATCTCAGCTACTTTGAATAGTCCCAAAGGCTTTGGTCCCTCTCCGAAGAAAACCCAAAAGACCAAGAAAACAAAGAAAGGTTACGACAATAATGATGAAGAAGAAGATGAAGATCCAGAGGAAGGCGTAATACCAGAAGTAGTGACCAACAGGATGATAAGCCGGATGGGTTTATCAGTGGGTATCCCTCTGTTTGTAGGCCTCTTGTTCTTCCCATTCTTTTACTATCTCAAAGTTGGGTTGAAGATAGATGTGCCCACATGGGTGCCCGTCATAGTATCGTTCTTCTTCTTTGGGACTGCCCTACTGGGGGTCAGTTATGGGATTGTGTCCTCCAGTTGGGATCCACTGAGGGAAGGCTCACTCCTGGGCTGGAAAGAAGCTCAGAAGAATTGGCCTGTTTTCTGGCAATCTCTCCGGGGTGGACCTAGAAAAAAGTAGGACTTGCTCTTTCTCTATTTTCGCCTTTTTCTTTTTTCTTTTTTTTCACTTTTTTAGTTTTTAAATATTTTTTTACTTCTTTTTTGTGGGTAACAAAATATTTCTTCTATTTCAATTTGATTTGAGGGTAATAATTTTGACAAAGTCGATACGAAAGTTAGAGGATTAAGTTTAACTAATTGATAAAATAGGTTAATGTTAAATATAATAATATTTTTTATTTTTTTAGGTGGGGATGTTTTGGCCCCAAATTACCATCCAAACACACAGCCTACGCCCAATCCCAGGAAGCAATGATAGCCGAAGCCCAAGTTAAGGGTTATGGTCAATATCTTCATTGGGGCGAACATTTATCTTGTTTGAGAAGGCAAATGATTTCATATCTATAACAGTGTCTGGATCTCGAAAGAAGTAGGACTTGGTCTATCTCTATATTTGCCTCTACCCTTTTTTTCCCCACTTTTTTAGTTTTTATGTATTATTTTTACTTCTTTTTTGGGTAAAATTTTTTTCTTATATTTCAATACGGTTTTAAAATGACAGTTTTTGACACTGATAAGAGGATACTTGATATCAAAATTAGTGGATTTTGTTTGACTAATTCTTGATATGATTTGCTAACATGATAATAGACATTGCCAAAAATAAAATATTATGGAGGAGTTTTTTTCTTTTTCTTTTCCTTCTTTTCTTTGAGGGTATTTTTTTTTTGTTGGGGGGTTTGGCCCCACAATTACCATTCACAAAAAGCTCGCCCAATCTCAGGAAGCAGTATGGCAGAGGCCCAAGTAAAGGTTAAGCTCATTATCTTCATTGGGTTGAACATTTATCTAGTTTTGAGAGGCAAATGTTTTCATATCTATAACAGTGTCTATGTCTTGAACTGTGATCCTTTTTTGATCGGGGTGCTAGTCTATAGATGAGACTGTTGAGGGTGAGAAGCCTTCCACTTGTTCAAATGTATACTAATACTTAATGATGTATGCTAGTAACAGGCTAATTATTGCTACGAACATACAATTCGGAAGCTGGTAATAGAAATGAGTTGTAAATTCAGACGTCTTATGTTTGAATTTTGACAAACTTTTGAAATTAAGTTATTAGGAATTAATTTTTTATAAATATTTTAGTTTTAACATTGATTATTAGTCTTTGATCAAACTAGAGAGAGAGAACTAATTAAAATACANCAGCCAGCCTCGTCATGTGGTTCATAAGAAAGATTTAGATTATAGTTTAAGTAGTAATAGAAATGAGTTGTAAATTCAGACGTCTTATGTTTGAATTTTGACAAACTTTTGAAATTAAGTTATTAGGAATTAATTTTTTATAAATATTTTAGTTTTAACATTGATTATTAGTCTTTGATCAAACTAGAGAGAGAGAACTAATTAAAATACACACTAATTGACTCACACACCTTGATTGTTGAATAAAAAAAAGAGAGAGAGATTTAGACTCAACTAGAAATCTTTTGGGCATGNTTGAAATTAAGTTATTAGGAATTAATTTTTTATAAATATTTTAGTTTTAACATTGATTATTAGTCTTTGATCAAACTAGAGAGAGAGAACTAATTAAAATACACACTAATTGACTCACACACCTTGATTGTTGAATAAAAAAAAGAGAGAGAGATTTAGACTCAACTAGAAATCTTTTGGGCATGAAAGTTCGAAAATTGAGGCCGGAAGGCATATCGTAGGCCACAAAAAAGCACTTGGGGGCAAGTGAATGCTTATACTTGAATTTTGCATGTGACTACCCTAGTTGCTGCCTGTCCATTGTATTACAGTTGCTATAGTGTGCATTAAATGAGGTGCTATTGATTTTTAAAATAAATTTTATGATTTAAATTATTATATAATATNTGCCTGTCCATTGTATTACAGTTGCTATAGTGTGCATTAAATGAGGTGCTATTGATTTTTAAAATAAATTTTATGATTTAAATTATTATATAATATGATTTAAATTATTATATTTATAATGTGAAAGTTTTTATTAAGGGCATAAATAAATTCGAATCAAATCTAAACAATTCTAAATTTTTTTTTTGTATTAAAATAAATTTAATTTAATTGAGTTTTTATATAAAAATTTTATTTGAACATTTGATTTAATTAAACTTCTATAAAATAGGGTCCTAAAAAGTTGGAGGTCGAAAGCGACGGTTTCAATGATTATGCCATTGAGCTCTAGCCCTGGTGCGGTAGTAACAAGACGACTCTTGACGGATTGTTTTAAATCTTGTGTTTTTTATTTCTTTTTTTTTTTTTTTTGGTTTTTGTTTTGAATTGGATAAGATAGCCATCTAGCTGCTAGGAATGGAGTTACAATCAGCCAAAGAAGATAGCCTTGAACTCACTGAGTGGACAACTGACCCAGTTCAATGTAGGAATTCCTTAGTGTTGAGTGATAATATTCCGCACACCTCACAAAAGGATCTAAGAAATTAACTTGTGGGATGTAAGACCTGACAAGAATGTCTAATTTAAAGTAGGTCAGTTAACGGATCGGTAAATTTAAATTCGATTTTAAAAATCTGATACAAATATGATTCAATAAGCGAACAAATTTTTTTCGTGGTTCATATTTGGATTTGTTAACAACTCAAAATTCGATTTGATTCAAATAATTTAATTAATTAAATTTTAACAAATTATATCTAAATTTTAATTAAATTTCTTTAATTTTTATACAAAAATCTAAATAATAAATCAGTTAGGTTTTTGAAATTATAGAAGTATATTCCTCCCTCTAATTTCACACATTAAGCACAATTTATCTTCCCAAAATTTCACAAACCCAACATACACAACACACAATGGCATACACACACACTTTTATTATATACACACTCTAATACATACACAGTGTCATAGATTAGTGTACAGTGATTTTAGTTACANTACACACACACTTTTATTATATACACACTCTAATACATACACAGTGTCATAGATTAGTGTACAGTGATTTTAGTTACAGAGTATCGTTGGTATATAAATAATTTGAATTGAATCATAATTGGATTAGATATCGCTATATTAAAATTTGAATTATTGGTAAAAAATATTAATTCATGGACACGTAATTAAAATTGAATCAAAATCCGATTCATTGACAAANAAATTTGAATTATTGGTAAAAAATATTAATTCATGGACACGTAATTAAAATTGAATCAAAATCCGATTCATTGACAAACATAATTCAAAGTATTATTTGGTAGAAACTGTATGAGAACTTGAGAACTGTGGGGACAAGTTGCTACTTAACCAAACCATCAGTCTATGGAGTTATTGGGACCTTCAAAGCACAATGATACACAAGAGAAAGCCCACAAAGAAGAAAAGGAGGTTTGAAGGCCTACTATTGATTTCTCCATAATAACAACATAAACAACAAGTTCCAGAAGTCTACCTACGCCGTGCAGGGATAAGAAACGAGTTGGCATCCCTTGGCATATCGGTGGTGAGCACTTGTGGGTGACTCGATGCTCTTGACTCGGTGTTGAGTACGATGGCAGCAGGGGAACAATGATGACAAGAGTTGAGGAGACACTCTTGGTTGACAGCCATGTATAAACTCATCCACCGATATGACTTTGAGAGATGTGTCTACCTGAGAATAATCGAATGAATGTTTGCTGAAGATTCATACTTGAACAACTAGCAAACGTAATTTCATCTCCCTAGAAGGTCAAAAAGATCAAAAAAGTATACTGCAATCAATCATGATAAATGTTCTTAAATGATTAATAAATGCTTGGCCCCGAGANACTTGAACAACTAGCAAACGTAATTTCATCTCCCTAGAAGGTCAAAAAGATCAAAAAAGTACACTGCAATCAATCATGATAAATGTTCTTAAATGATTAATAAATGCTTGGCCCCGAGACTTCAATGATCAATAAATGTTCCTCATTAGCATGTGTTTGTATTTGTGAAACAATTAGCTCTTAGAGAGGCAAAGACAAAAAGAGATTTGAATACGCAATAAGTGCTTGACGTTAGTCAGAGTTTTATACAATATCATACGCTCTCTCAAGTGTTGTGTGAGAAATCACCCGCACAAATATCATATATTACATTGTTTAGGTTTTATACAATGTGATGTCAGATGACAGTATAGACTCGAACTAGTGCTAACCAGACTCTGTAGTATGATCTATATTTGGTATTAACTATTAAGTGACCAACGAANGGATGTCAGATGACAGTATAGACTCGAACTAATGCTATTAACCAGACTCTGTAGTATGATCTATATTTGGTATTAACTATTAAGTGACCAACGAACTAATTTAGTCCAATCCTACCTCATATTAATAGAACTAAACACACTCGTAAGTGTAATCTTGGAGCAAAAAGCTATGGAAAGTGTGAGCCCTTGACCTGTGAAATGCTGCATCAATAAGTTACAATTTTTATCTTAAACTCGCAATCGGAATCAATCTCTCAAAAATGAGAGTACGATTGTAAACCACTTCTCTCGTTTACACTTTATTATAAATGTGAGTTTTATTTTTATTAGAATATCACAGAACCTTAAATGCTTTCATGCAAACAAAAGGTATGGATGAGTATAAGATTTATAAAGATCAAGTACTGGTTAAGTCAGTGTTACTGGGTCTCATCTTCTTTGTTTTTTTTTTTTTATCAACAGTCAGGGATGTTTGGATCTACGACTAATCTCCTCTTCGGTCCGATTAAAGGTAGGACATCGACATTGGGATTAACATTGGGATTAGGAAATTTAAAAGGGATAAATCCTTCATGGCCTGACGTTAAAGAATTATCAAGATTCGAATATCTGAATTTATAATTCATCTTTATTATAACGTGAGCTATCTCTTAAATTTCTTGGTTGCTTCTTTTAACACTGGTAAGCATCGTCTTTAAACTGAAAACAACGCTGTAAAAGAATCATGTGATCAAAGTAATCAAACATTGGAAATAGGGAAAGACTTATTAATGATTAAGATGATGATCGCT